TTTCATGAGTCAGAACCGCCGAAGCGGGCGAGATATATCGGCCTAGAAGCGGCCAGGCCGCCTAATTGAAAATAGGTGCTTTAACCTAAATGCGTTGTACACAACGGTACGTTTCACTCGATTTAAGTACTCGGTTTTGGTGGCGGTGGCAGATTTGGGGCGCAAGAGCGTAGTAACCGCGATTAGAATCCGCTAACGCGGCCGCAAACAAACACTGTGAGTAGACACGGGCGGCCGAAACGAGCGAGGGGAACGAACAGAGAAACGGCCATCCCGAGAGAGAATCGGCCGGAGTGAAACATCTGCGATCGGATTAACGGCGGACATTGGCAACACTTCCGGGTGATTAGGCTGATTCCACGTCGATCCTAAGTCCCCGCTTACAACCGCAATATCGCTCTGCGTGCACCGCGCGGCCGACTACAATTCGCAACTACAGAGACTCGTTAAGGCTCTCGGCGGTCTGTTCGCGCCTGTCTCCGAAAATCCACCCGACATGTGACGACATTTGACAAATATTTATCGCCTCGCGCAAATTTCTCCTTAGACTCCTTAGACGTTAAAAACGGCGAAAGCTATGTGTTTGCATAATTAATAATAAACTCTATTTCGATATTAATTAAGCAAATTAATATTTGGTGAAATCTTCATCGAGTATTCTCTTCATAATCTTATTTAAACCAAGCATTATTAATTTATTTCTTGACAAAATTGATACTTTAAAAAAGGATATACAAAAATAAGTAGTATATGCATTGATTGGTCAAACGTTGAGAATTTTGTAATGATAGGATATATACTCTATTTCGATATTAATTAAGCAAATTAATATTTGGTGAAATCTTCATCGAGTATTCTCTTCATAATACTATATTTAAACCAAGCGTTATTAATTTATTTCTTTACTTCAAAAAGGATATACAAAAATAAGTAGTATATGCATTGATTGGTCAAACGTTGAGAATTTTGTAATGATAGGATATATACTCTATTTCGATATTAATTAAGCAAATTAATATTTGGTGAAATCTTCATCGAGTATTCTCTTCATAATCTTATTTAAACCAAGCGTTATTAATTTATTTCTTGACAAAATTAATACTTCAAAAAGGATATACAAAAATAAGTAGTATATGCATTGATTGGTCAAACGTTGAGAATTTGTAATGATAGGATATATACTCTATTTCGATATTAATTAAGCAAATTAATATTTGGTGAAATCTTCATCGAGTATTCTCTTCATAATCTTATTTAAACCAAATTAATTTATTTCTTGACAAAATTTCAAAAAGGATATACAAAAATAAGTAGTATATGCATTGATTGGTCAAACGTTGAGAATTTTGTAATGATAGGATATATACTACGATATGTCATCGAGTGTGACTACTTCTCGCGTAACTTTTGTAACGATATATATACTTTATGTCTCGTGACAAGTAATTTTTCTATATTTTTGTCAAAGAATTTATTAATAAATAAATAAATAAATTGCTCAATCTATATTTGGCTGACAAAATTCAGTTAATTCGCGTGCTTAACACTAAACAGGCAAAATGAATACAAAGCTTGTTTGACGATGCAGCGTTTTTCTCAAGTATTAAAGCATAAAACCGGGTCGACATGCTCTTTGACGCTCGACATATTTGCGAAATCTGTCGCGTTTGGGGGAGACGGAAAAAAGAGGGGATAATATCTCTCGGAGTACTCGGAGGGAAAAAAATAACGGATGCGACTGCGGGACCGTGAGGTGAGAAAGGACGGAGCGGAAGGCAGTTTCCCGCGCGACGAAGCGGTCCTCTGCAGTGCCGTATATTCCGCCGTCAGTGCGGTTGTACACGCGACGCCACTTTAACCCGGAGTCATCCAACCTCCCTGCCGCCCCCTCCCAACCCCCTCTCGCGTCGTCTTCCTCTTTCAGTCTCGAGTAAACTATAAAGCGCGGACCGGTGTATTTCGGTACGGAGGCAGTAGACCCCGGTGGATGGTGTTCTTCTCGGAGAAGACGGGACAGATGGCGGGACACGGAAAATGAGTGAGAGAGAAAGGAAAGAGCTCCGTCTTCTTCTTGTTCTTCATTCCCGTCTCAGACTTCTCGCCCGGGCGGGGGAGAAGAACGGATGATAGTGATTCCCGTGCCAAGAACTACTCGTACGGGCCAAGCACAACTTGGCCGAGGCACAATCGAGTGAAAGTCGCGTCGCATCTTTTGCCGAGGGGTGGCTTTCGGAGCGCGCAGCGGGTAGAGAAGGAAAAAAAAGGGCAGAGAAAAGAAAAACACTCGACTCTCTTTCTCGAGCGAAGTGAAAGTCGGGAGAAAATAAGGACAAATTGACTGTCCCCGGATGGATGGGACGAAGAATTCACTCCGTTGTGGATTGCGCGGCACGAAAGCGGAGCCGGAGAGAAAGAGTGACTGAGTGCTGATCTTAGATTGCGAACGGGATGAGACTTACAAGGAGCAGACGGTCGCTACTCGAGGTTGGATTACGAGATAAATGTTCGCGCGGTAGGTAAGTCGCGGACGAGTGATAAGCGATGATGGGCGATGCGATTAATCGCAACGCGACGATGGAAAAGCGATCGAGTCAGCGGAGGTTTTAAAAAGCATTCGCAGAAAAAACAGTATTCTTGAGAGAATGCGAGTATGCCTTGATTCAAGTATATTTTATCCTTATAGTAGCGCCAAATGTAAATAATTTTGGATAAAGGATGATTTATCCTTAAAACAAAGTGCAAATTATTCTTGGTTGAAGCTGAAATTTACTTATAAATATTGCAAGGATAAGTGACAAGTGAGCATCGGATATAAGCGGTACTTTCAAGTATATAGAATAATTCTTAGTTCAAATGTGACTAAGTTTGTTTTTACCATATGCGATTTTTCAAACAAGAATATATCTTAAGGATAAAATATACTTCACACAAACTTATTTATTATTAAGGCGAATGAAAATTTTTGATTATAAAGAGCATTCTATGCTTAGATCAATCAAATAGCGTTCAAGAATAAAAATATACTTGAATCAAGGATTCCGTTTTTTTCTGTGTTGCAATAAAACGCTAACGTGCTAAAAATGCGATTGAAATTATTAGCGAGAAACTCGCGCTTTGTACAGGAAGAGATAATTAAGGCTTTGACTTTTTTTCTAATAATGTTTACAAAGAAAAAATCCAAGCATTAATAATCTCTCTCTATTGAACTCCTATTGAGTTTCCCATTATACTATGTACAAAAATTTCTAACTGCAATGAAAGAGCTTTGCGGTTTGATTACAATATATCTGCATTCAATTGTTCCGCTGATTAATATCTTGTAACGTCATCACATCGCCACGCAACAGATGTCAAAGCTCGCGGATTGCTGTGATATACATAATCGCTGCGGGATCGACGGCCAACCAAACATACTCGACAATCATTTACTTTAACTGATCGATCAAACTGATTTCCAACTTCGTTAACCCACTGTAATGGATAGATTGCGAGCACCGCAATATATACGCCGCGTATGTGTAATTAGATGTAGTTTTAAATCGACGTCTATATCGCGGGTAAGCGTAACGAGCGAGCGGAGCGGTCCTTTCGGTTTCCCAGAACTGTTCAATTTCCGCGGGTTGATTGAAATGAAATAATCATTATTGTTCGTACCATGATCATCGACGATACGCGATTCCATCGTGCGCACGCCACGGTATTTATAATGACCATTGTTTCCGAACGTACGAATTTCCATAACTGGTAATTCAATTGTAACCACGTTCACAATTTACGCGAGAATAACATTTTCTCGTCGGGCTCGGCGACTAACAGTTTGCCCGATGCAAGAAAGGAGAAACAATATCTTGAAAAAGAGGAAGAGAAACTCTAATCGCGGCGGCAGGAAGGAACGCGATTTCCTCTTAGCTGATCGTTTTTGCCTTAATAATCGCATCGCGAACCCATAACAATCGACGGTACGGATGATCCGAAACATAATTGCATCGCCGATAATGCGCGCAACAGCCGCTCCCGCGTACTTTAATGTTCGTTTTCCGGGAAGCGGAGCGATAGCTCGAAGGGATATCGGCGAATCGCCGACGGGTAATGAAGGAATTTATGACGCGAATTGCTCGATGAAAATATACTACCATTGGCCTCCTACGGGGGCTCCTACCCACTATATAGCTCTCGTTTCTTCTTTTTTCGCGGCCGCTATAATCGACATAAATTCTAATTACATCGCCGCGCGATGCGTTCTCGCGAAATCCCTTGGATTCCATTCGTTGTCCGAGTTGTTACACGTTCTCGCCAACTAATTCGACGCCCGGAGTCGTCGTCGGCGTCGTCGTAACTCGGTCTCTCTCCTACGGCCGATTTATTAACGGTCGACGCACGTGTTTCACGGATGTTTCGTTTCCGAGAGTGTTATTTTGCGACCGATTTACGATGCACGTCTATCCTCCGAAAGATCGTCTCCCGTCATTTTCACGGAATTAAGCGTCGCGCGCGTTTACAGTCATTTCGCGAATACGAGATGACAGTCGGACGTGAACCAAGAATCCTATGACGTCAGCGGACCGGACAATCGGCCTAGTTGAACGGATTAATCTCTCGAGTGTCGTCGGTTGTCTAAGTGAGAAACTGGCTCTCGTTGAATGGCCCGATCGTTATCGAAGAAATATCTTCAAATATTTCTCTTTAAACCGATGGCGCATTATTCTCTTTGTTCAACGTACGGTTGAAAAAAATTGCCGTAATTTTTAGACTATTTATATGAAATATATTTCCTTTTATTCCTACCTTTATGATATCGTAACATATTTTTCAGCACACGGGATTTTCTCTCGGTTCGTTTAAACGAATCCTTTTTTGCGCTTACATGGTTTTGCACTTCTAGTTCGCGATTATTGTTGCACGCGGGAACGCGGATAAAATTCGTAGGATTCTTTTACTCTTTACTAGTTATGGACCGCGTGAATCGAGGTCTTCATTATCCTTCTCATTCTTTGTTGCAGACCGGAAACAGTTACAAATCGCCGGAGGAATCGCCGCACACGGAGCACAGCAGACTGAGGTGAGCGAAAACAAAATGCGCGCGCAACAAAGCCGAAGAAATAACAAATGCAACGTCGAGCGAGGTTATTACCGAGGGAAACAGGCACTTGAATAAAAATAGCAAAACCTCTCGCGACGATAAACCAACACGATGATCAGTCTGCTTTCGAAAAAAGCAGATCGTCGTATAGAAACTTTTCTCTTTTTAACTGCAAATTGTAACGTTTCCCCGCGATGCATATTTTAGATGAACGCAAGAATAGATCATTATAATTAACCAAGAAATCTATTATAAAGAATTAATGTGTAGAAATCTTTTGTAAAAAAAAAAAAAAAATGGGAGAAAAATTAAATGCGCAAAAACAGATAATTAACCCAGAAAACTATTTTGAACCGCAAATAACACTTGGACGGATGGGAAATAATGAGATAACAAATTTTTTGCGTCATTTCTCCCTTCGATTCGATAATTAACCGCGAAACGCATGACAAGTCGAGAATGCTGTCGAGATCACTTGACGTAAACTCGAGCAATGCATCGGTGGACCAAGCCAAGTGTCCGACAGCGAAAGATAAATTTCAGAGCTAGGCAGTTTCCTCGGCGAATACACGCTGTACGTCGAATGCAATTCGTGACGCGGCCGCAAGTTGCCCGCGGAGTCAACATACTAAAATTACTGGATGAATTCTCGCGATGCTTGAGGCGCTGCCAGGTCGACGTCGCGCAATCTCCGTTTTGCGGGAGAGAACAAAAGCCCGAAACGCGAGATGAGACGAGGGATCGACTTTCGATCTAATACGCACGAGATCGTTAATCCGTGATGGTGATTACAGGATACGATCGTTCTTCCGAAACGACGTTGTTAAACGCCGCGAAACGGCCGCCGAAACTTACACGATTAAACGATCCATAATTTGTTCAACAACGCTTAAGCAGTAGGCTTGAAATGACTCGTATAATCGCGCGAAACTTTGCTGTCACGAGACGCGAGCGTGCTACTTTTTCACGATATCGCCGTTAAATAACTCGAGGACTGTCATCTCTCACAACGAAATTGCGCAGCTTTGATTTTTAGGAAGGATATCAAATAAGGTTAAAGTACCGATCCCCGATGATGTTAAACGAAATTGAATTTTAAACGGGGATACCTCGAGATGCGTTCCATAAAAACGGCGAATAGAAAAAAATATCATACGCGCGCTTTACGCGAAGGGGTAAAAGGATTTCGCCGGACTAAGGAAATCTCATCCGCTCTATATACGTTTTCTATAACGCTACCTTCGTGATGTGGTCGGTATATTCACGTCTCGTAACCGTGATACCCATTCCTTCGGCTGTTCTAAAAATGCGATATCCCGGGCCGGTATCGCGTTTTGTACCGTCCTCGCTCGGTTCGGAAAATGCGCTCACTTGCATTCGAGTCGAAATTCATCAAATTCATCAAATTCCGAAATGCATTCTGTCACGTTAAATGTGCTCGCGCGATTTTAACGCGTTTTCGTTATATATTCCTCGAATTTTTTTTATCGGCACTAAAAATGCAGCATATTTTAATTAAATCTTGTCTATATTTATGTAGTTTCCAAAGTTTGTTTTACGAAAATAATTACGAATACAGAGCAAAAAAATATTCAATTTATTATCGGAGACATCGCGTATTATGCGACGTCGATGAAAATTGTTCGAGAGAGGCGGAAACAATTTTTTCAAGAATCGTCCATTACGAAATTTACCCCGCGAAATCGATTTATCTCGCACGTATATACGAATAATACCGCGATCGCGCCGAAATACTCATACATAGCCCGCGTACACTTTTTTTCCTCCTTTTTGCCACCGGTCGAAAAAGTTAGCCGGCCGAATGAACAATCAGTCGGCAAGATCTGAAAACCGATTGACAGCCTGTCGCACATGTGCGACGCGCTCTTTTTCCAATTCCCGATCGCCGTATTATGCGCGTGAGATGCAAGTGAGGATTGATCCAATCCGAAATCGAGTCGGCGCATTAAATTCGTTCGACCGAAATGCGCATCCATCTTGCGTTACGACCGACGGAGCTATTTCCCGCTCGATTACGATACTTTTAATAGGGAATCGGGGAGCGTTTCGTGTCGGCGGTAATGTAACTTCTCGGACGGAAGTTCGAGCAGACGGGAACGATTATCTTTCATTACACCTGCGATTCCCAGGTATAACGTGTTCTAATTAATCGATCCGATTGTGGGCGATGATAATGGAGAGAGAGAAAAGAGGAAGGAAAGCTAGAGATGAGTACATTAAATATAGTACTTTTTCGTCACGGTTATACGGGGGCTTCCGCCAATTGATATTATTACGGAATTAATATTATAATTAGTAACTGTGTACAGCGAGGGATATTTGACGAGTAGCGATAAAAAATATATATGTACATACACCTTTCGTGATATCTTCTTTCGCTCATGGATTCTATGGTGATTGAAATTGGAGAAAAATCATATTAAATTTGCGCTCTCTGCGAGACTGAAGTAAATTATGCAAAAAATATTATATTGGGATAGAATAACGATTCGAGTGGCTATATAGATTAGAGACAATTCCTCTCGGAATACGTAATTCACATTTTCGATTTGGAGTAACTTTTGATGCAGTGCAGCAGCTTTTACAACTCGCAAACGACGTCGTTAACGATACTCGCGGTCATAAGAGCCGAAAAATCAATATTGTCTCTCTCGTATTGAGGAGAACAGTAAAACTTTACGTTCAAATTCGCGAGAGAGAAGAGAGAGAGAGAGAGAGAGAGAAAGTATGAAACACTCGGTAAAAGACCGCCGTGGCGAAGAGTCCACGGTTGCTCGCGATCTATTACGTTCTTGGTCAAGTGATAAATGAACCAATGAAAGAATGTTACAGGACTCTGCAATTCTTTTCTTCCGTCTTCTCTGTCGGCTTTTTCGCTCGCGCAAACTTTCCTTCGTACTTTTTGTCGCGAAACGCGTCGCCCGCGGTTCTTCGTCTTCATACGTAAACTTGTTACGACGGAATTAATCGGTTGGCTAATCGCATATTTCATCCGCGTCGCTTATACAATATCTTTAAAATCTTAAAAATCTCGCGCGAGACTATTTCACGCAAGAATTAACAAGACTGTAATTTTATTTCTGGTCATCATAATTCAACAATCGAGCCGCGCCGATTCGAGTTTATATATCCATCGCGTTATCAAGTCATCCCATCCGCGGAGCATGTGAATCGTCCGCATAAGTTCGCATCGATCGCGTTTATACGCGCGCTTATACATCCTGGCGGAGAGTGAAAGAGAGAAGAGGAGATGGGGAGGAAAGGGATGAAGCACGCGAGGCGCGAAACGCCGACTACACAACAACCACCCGCGAGTCACAAGGTGCGAGCGTGTCAAATTCGCGAGCCATATTGCGGTGTTGCGGCCAAAGGCGCAGCATCGCTGATGCACCGTCGCTGCACTCACGCTTACGCTCGTTTATGTGCGCGCGCGTGGCGCGAGTGTGTTATACACAAATCTCTCGTTTGCATTCAATCCGCTGACGCCTATTTCATGACAGCGGCACCGATGCGATTCCCCGATAATCCGACAGAGTCACTCGTACTCGCGCGCACGCGATCGACAGATAATCCCTTAAGTGCCGCGCAATTTTCTCGCACCTTGTAAGCCCCGTGTCACGAGATTTTTATCTCTGTCGTACGAAAGCACACGACGCGACGCGAACATGATGCGAATCTTGTATCATTTTCGAACATATTTCAGCGCAAAGTGTCAAGTTAAACATTTTATTCTCTCCTCGGAACGAGAGGAGTTTTTTTTTTACGATATGTGTAGGATGTGTGTTACGTAAAAGGAAAATAGATATGTATTAAGAAAATAAAGAAAGCGTGGCTTTCTTTTCTCTGTGTATATACGATTGAAAGAAAAATTTTACAGAATTGCTTTGACAGAATTGTATATATAACAGTAACTAGACGATATTGCGCAACATTAACGATGCCGGAGAGTTAATATTTATGCGAATTTATGAGAAGATACGCCTGGACGATCACACGACTTTCCAAGTCAGCCGCGTTCCGCGCCAATATACGTAATTGGCTGCCAACGCGAACTTTTAATTGGTTTCAACCGTTTCGGGCTACGTCCGTTTCAACTCCGGTCCGATGATTTTTCATCCTCGCTCGGTCGGAAATCGGCATCAAAAATAATAAGCCCGACGTGGCCCCGCAGCAGTGTCCGTCCTCGCAACCAGGATCGGCTAATCAGATTTCTCGTGCAAGGAATACGCGCGCGAGATGTTACCGGGTTAATTAATGCCGCACTGCCAATTATACGGATGCGTACGTAATTAATAACGAAATATTAATGACAATGGATCGTGTAATAACAACTAGAAAATTTACAAATGCCACTCGTCGAGCATTAACGGATCATCGTTGATACGACGTCGACGAATGCGAGACGATAATCATTATGAGGCTTTTATTGTAATAACGGGATTATCATCTCGTTATCAAGTGCTGTTTTTCAATTCGCGATCGATGGACGGACGGAAATTAATGAGCTCGCGCGCTTATCTGCGCCACTCGTTGATTCAGGTAACCAAGGATCGATCCTTGAATACCTTTCTAGGATCGAGGGCCATAGGTACCTCGAATCCGTCGATCGGATTGAAAGAAAATACCATGATATTATTTGAAGTATTATTTCTTTCTCGCTCCTTTAATACTCATTAACGCTCTCTCTCTCTCTTTTCTCTCGTTGCTATCTTTTCTCCTCTATATAAATGTACTTCCAAGACATTATATTGCGCACAATGCATCTCTGTTTAATTTAACATTAAAGTGAGAAATCTGTCATACCTTGTTCAAGCAAACAAACGTTTACAGAGTTTATATTCAGTAAAAACTTGTTATACATATTAATGGTGCAAACAAGAGAGAGAGAGAGAGAGAGACTTGTTATGCATGTTAATTGTAATAAAAATATTTTGAACTGTTTGTTATTCTGAACGCGA